ACGACTGCCTCAGTCGTACCAAATATTTGTCAAATTACGTATTTTCGTGTCCCGATGTTAGTGATTGTGCTGTTTGTGCTGTGTACTGACAAAAATTTTGTTTGTACTTCCCTTTAAAATGGCTGGCAAGCGTAAAAGTGAGAGTTTTGTGGTGCCGAGAAGAAAAAGAGACACACATTTTAGATTTTCTATGTACGTATTATCTTTGCATTTTCGACTTACGACCAATTCGGCTTACGACCTGGATTTGGGTCCCTAACCCCATAGTAAGTTGAGGAGTGGCTGTACATTCATATTAATTTTTTTACATTAATTTTACTACAGCAACAACCAGGGTCTTATCTTTTCATTTTCTTACGTAGAACCATCATCATTTGTCACGGGTGTTGTAAACATAAACGAAAGCAATGCCATCTCCTCTCCTCTTGTGTGTTTTAATATTCTACGTTTTATTAATGAATTGCATTGTTCACTTTGCGTATATAAATATTAATTCAACCAAATACATATTCAGGAATAAACAATAATGAATTTTTTTACATATTCCTAATACAATAAATGATGCAGTTTCCTTGAGTGCACAAGTATTCATTGACGTTCCACTATCACTCTTTTTTTTTCTTTAACATCAATGGTTTCTTCTACTGTACAATAAATAACTTAATTAAAACATACATATTTTTTACAGTAATTTTACTATAGCAGTAACCAGGGTCTTATTTTCTTCAGTTTCAGATGGATAACTGACATTATGGGTGTAAACACTGACAACAACAATGGTGTCCCATCTTCTCTTGTGTGATCTTATTTATATTGTATAAGGTGCATTCATAAACATTATTTAAAGAATATAGTTTGCATTTTTCATTAATTGTTTTGTTTTGGGGGAAAAGAGGGTAAAAAGCCACACAAAAGATTTGAAAAGGTCACACTGGGGAACTCATATTCTTATTATTGCTTTATTTTAATGGTAATTAATGATTCATGATACAGTGACTCACCTTACACTGCAATATTGGAGGAAGCATTACCGTCGTTATTCGAGGCTTTACTGTACTGTATTTCCTAAATCAACAGTTTCCCTCCTTTAACCACTTTCCAGTTTACTGTATACCTTGAAAATCAAGTAATGATTTATATTCTTTTTGTGTTACAGTATTAATTTTTGTGTATAAAATGAACTCCTTTGGGCCTGATTTACATGTTGTTGCAATTGAATGATTCCCTACAGCAGCGGTTCCCAACCTCAGGTCGAGACCCAATTCAGGGTCGTGGGGTGCCCTCACTCGGGTCACTTGGGGCCCTCAGACAATTTTAAAAATATAGTACTTATCATAATCAAACAAATTTTTGCTTAGCATTCAAGCTATATAATATATTATATGCCTGAGGGTCACGACACCGTGTTGTTGGGAAATTTAGGGTCGCAGCAAAAAATGGTTGGGAACCACTGCGGCCTATAGTCTTCTACGCCTTGAGTCATGTCATAATTTCTGGCCATTACTTTGACACAGAATCTAGGGAACTTATTCACACCGAAACTGTGTGAGGAGGAAGCTACTGTTGTATGAGCTTCTTAGGAGTTTGCCTGTTACTATTGTTATATAACCTGGAATATCTCTGATGCTCAGATTTCAGTTGTCATATTATATAAACTTTGTAAAACATTTAAAGACAAGTCTCCAAATTATGAAAGACTGAACTATTGTTATTGTTGACATACTGAGACAGTGGTGGTAATTTAAGCAAGATTTCTCTGTTTTTTTTTTTTTCATTTCATATTTAATTTCTTTAAAAATTTATGGACAAACAGATTCAAGAACAAACTCCGAGAGTCACACAAGTAACTGAAGATATCGTTAATTTCATGAAGGGTATCATAAAAGCATTCCAGACTTACGCAGGTGGCCACTTTGTCTTCGACTACATGAAGGTTACTTATGGCAGCATTAATGTTAGGGTAAGTCACCTCTGTTCCTGATGATATACTGTATTTAGAAACTATTAATTAAAATAAATAAAGGTGTCCAAAAAAAAAAATTCTCTACAAAGTTTTGTTATCAATCTGCTAATTTATATCTTTTTTTATTATCTTATGGACTGTAATGAATTCAAGTGCTGACTTCATTTTCCAATTAACATTTACACTACTAACTGATTTCCCAAGTAAAAAACTGTACTTTTTAATGTAAAACATTTTCAGTTTTAATGGATAAGTGATGCAGCTTACAAGTCTGTGCTTAAAACTATACTTGCAATTTAGGCATACCTCATTATTGTATTGGTCTAGTGATGATGATTAATCAAATGTAATGTGAAAATTCTCTTTACTCATTATTGCACGTGTTGTTTATTTTTTCTCTTGTTAATGTCATTTGCTTTAGGTGATGCAAATGTGGGAGAAGTGGAACAGTGCAGAACGTAAGAATATGGATGGACTTGAATGTTTCACCTTCTTGGTGGCGGACAACATATGGAGAGTGTTACATGGTACTAATTACTTCCTGGATAAGTAAGTTGCACATTCCTATATCTTTATTTATTAATGATAATTTGATTTGATATACTTATTTAAAAAAAAATTAAACGGTGACCTTCTTTGGTGGAAGTTAGCTAAATGGACAGTGGCCTTCATCTATGAAAGTTTCATGTATGCTTGTACAATATGGAGGGGGAATCTTTAGCTGCTGATTAAGGGTTAAGACTTATTGCAAAGTGCACACAAGTGAGCAGCAAAAATGAGCTTAATATTTAGTTTTACAGGAAAGAAGACAATTAATACAATTAAAAATTAAATGAACATGTGTCAAGTGTGGAAGCCATTGGAGGCACACATGTGGATGAAAGACTTGATGTACTGTAATTTGAACATGTTGAACAGTTGACAAAGTCAGTGAAGAGAGTTATAAAAGTACCATTAAAGATAGAAGGTGAGAGGCAGACCCATATAGAGATAGATTGAGTGATTGAGCTGATCAGTGGCAAAGTGTCTGATAGTTGTAGAAGTAACTTAGAGGGAAAGTACAGGTATGGTGAATAGTTATTTTAGTAACCAAAGAAAGTCATAATTAAAATATAAATAAAGATAGTTGTGTACAAGTGTTTTTCTTTGTTAGACTCGATATGATTTGAGGTACTGTACATAGTAATATCTCCATTAGCCAGAATCCCTCAAACCCGGAAATCTCCGATAGCCGGAATTGAAATTGGCTTGAAAAATCATTCCCAAAGCCGGAATTTAACAAAAAATACGGCTTTGGGAAAAATTTTTCCAAGGTTGAAAATCGAGAACATTTTCTAAAAATGTCTTGAATAAAGATGAAAGTTAATTTTTTTTTTTTTGGGGACCTGACCTGACTCAATGTCAGGTGGTGGTAGGGTGGGGGATTAGTGGTCACCCTTTCTTGGCTGGGGGATTAGTGGGTCTCATGACCTGAAGATGTCTTGAATAAAATCGAAACCTAAAGTATTTTTTTGGGAGATTGTGATAAGTATAAGTATAAATGAACAAAGTTGTATCCCTACAGCATTACATTAAATAAAATTTTAAAATATGGAGTGAGAAAGCAGAATGGTGTGGATGATTAGAGAGAAGGAGTGGAAAGGAGTGGTAACATGCACCAGTGTTGCCAAGCGATAAGCTCCTCAACAGCTGATCTTTTAATTCACCTTCATGGAGTTGCACAACAAGACCCTCACTGGATGCTTGTTGTCTTGATTCCTGTGTGTGTGTGTGTGCTCAAGTGTACTAAGTTAATCTCCCCTACTGGGAGAAGGGTCCAGTTAGGGGTATGTTCAATGAGACTAGATGAGACTAGATTCTATAATGTTCCTACTGTCAATTTAATTATAGAATCTAGTCTCATTAAACATACCGAACCCGGCAACATGAATTTGAGTAATGGTATGTACAAACTGGATAATTTCGTAAATAAGAAGATTTGTAACCAGGTGAGAAGGTTGGGTCAGCTTACCCTCTGACCTGACTACCGACTGCTGCGGTGCTTTTTGAAGATTAGTAGGGTCATTACCTAATACCTGACCATTGTGGAATTGATCTCGCCCTCCTCTGTATATATATACACCTTGTTTTGTACTTCTCCTTAGTCTGTACTCACCCCTGAAGATGTGAATTACACGAAAGCGCTTGGGAACTTCGTGTTTTCTTCTTTCCTTTTGGCTATCAGCATATATATATATATATATATATATAATATATATATATATATATATATATATATATATATATATATATATATATATATATATATATATATATATATATATATATATATATATATATATATACATATACATATATATATACATATACATATACATATATATATACATATACATATACAGTGGCCCCTCGGTTAACGAACTCAATCCGTTCCAGAAGGTCGTTCGTTAACCGAAACGTTCGTTAACCGAAACCATTGTTTCAATGGGTTTTTGGGTAATTGGTTCCAGCTCACCGAAAATTTCCTAACTTCAACAAAAATAGCGGAAAAATTTACTTACTTTGAGGTGTGTATGTAGAAGGCTCCTGGATGATGGTGATGATGTGCATTTGAAGTGGGAGGTGCAGGAGGAGAAGGGAGAAGAGAAGGAAGTGGAGGAGAAGCATTTTACTGCTTCTTGGAAGGTGAGTCACCTTCCATGAAAATGTCAGGAACCTCTGGACTGACAGATTCTCCACCATGAACATCCTCTCTCCTTCTTGAAGTGGAAGGCTGAGGGCTAGCATCTTGTTCCCTCTGCCTTTTACTGAAGAAAGTGTCAATTGTGGTCTGTGGGGCATCTGTCCTCCTCACCATTAACTTATGTTTAAAGAAGGAGACCACTGAGTCCTCAACATGACACAAAGTTAGTTCAGTTTTTTCCACTTCTGGGTGCTTTGAAGCCAGTTCCCTGAACTTCTCCCAGTGGTAAATCACATCTTTCAACTGTTTAGCTGACATATGGTCATCACTTTCAATTTCCTCCTCACCACTGTCAGCCTCTACCCGTAACATCTCATCCAGTTCCTTCAAGTCATTAGGAGTAAGTTCCTCCTCATGAGACATCACAAGCTCTTCCACATCCTTCTCCTCCACTTCAAGACCCAATGACTGACCAATGGACACAATCTCCTGGTCCAACTCTGTGTCATCCTCAAATCCCTCAAAATCATGGACTACTGATGGCCACAGTGCTTTCCATGAAGAATTGAGGGTTCTATTGGAGACTTCTTGCCATGATGACACAATCAATTTTACAGCCTCCAGGACGTTGAATTGTGTCTTCCAGAACTGTTTCAGTGTTAGTTCAGGATCAATGGAAGTTGCCTGATGACACCTCCTAAACATTTTCTTCATGTACAACTTCTTGAAGTTGCTGATCACATTCTGGTCCATTGGCTGTATGAGTGATGTAGTGTTTGGAGGCAAAAACAACACTTTCACAAAGTCAAATTTATACTCCAAATTTCTGGCAAGGTCAGGGTCATGACCAGGAGCATTATCCATGAGGAGAAGAGCCTTTAAAGGAAGTTTATTGGTGGTTAGGTAGCTCTTGACAGAGGGGCAAAACACATCAACAGCCCATTCATTAAAGAACTGTCTTGTCACCCATGCCTTACGGTTGGACTTCCAATAAACTCCAAGCATTGTTCTTACCACTTTCTGTTGCTTGAACACCCTGGGGTTTTCAGAGTGGTAGACAAGCATAGGCTTCAGTCGGAAATCCCCTGAAGCATTGGCACCAAGCAATAGAGTGAGACGGTCTTTCATGGGTTTATGCCCAGGTAAAGAGGCTTCATCCTTGGTGATGAATGTTCTTTTGGGCATCTTTTTCCAGAACAGCCCAGTTTCGTCAACATTGAACACTTGCTGTGGAAGATAATTTTCTTCTTCCATCAGTTTTTTAAATTCAATTAAAAACTTTGCTGCCCCTTCTTTATCAGCACTAGCAGCTTCACCATGCCTAACAACACTTAAAATGTCACTTCTTTTCTTAAATTTTTCGAACCAGCCTTTGCTAGCCCGAAAATCTTCAAATTCTGTTCCTGAAGAACTAGGTTGATCTGTCTTTAAATGTTCATAAATCTCCCTGGCTCTTTCACAAATGAAATCACCAGAAACTGAATCACCTTTCATCTGTTTTTCCCTAATCCAGATGATAAGTAACCTCTCAGTTTCTACGATTAGGGATCTACTTTTAAACACTCTTGTAGATTTGTCTCTCACGTTCACTTCCTTAAATTTGTCTTTTTGTGCAAGAATTGTCGACACAGTTGATGCCGACATGCCATATTCTTTGCATAGCGCATTTGATTTAATACCTTGTTCGTGTTTTTTTATTATTTCCTGCTTCATTTGGATTGAAATCACTTTTCTTGATCTCTTAGGCCCCATGCTGGATTCAAACAATGGCAACACGTATTTTTCAAAGTTAAACTAGCTGTAAATAAAGAATATTTTCTTTAAAATAACACTGCACTGCACTATATATTGTCAATATGTAAAATAATTTTCAAAATGACCAATAATTTGCTTGGAAACACAGAAAAAAGCGTTTAGTTGAAGAGAGTCTCAAGCAAGATGTTACCTCCAGTGAAAACAGAGAGAGACTGACGCCTGTTTGCTGTGTTAAGAGGCTGGATGCCGCGCATTAAACTAGTCACTTTACCTTCAATTTTGTTCAATAATTGTTAAAATGACTAAAAAATTGAATATTAAACTTTTAAAATAATTGAATAGTATAAACTTCTTGATATTTACAAAAATAGTAAGGAATTTAAGCCCTAGAACCGATTAATGTATTGGCGGACTGATACTAAAGCTGGTTGCCCGGTCAGTGCAAGCGAAAACATGTTGAGGTCGGTTCGTAAGAAGTTCGTTAAGCGAATTTTTTTCGTTAAACCGAATTGAAGATCCTTATGGAAGGCAGTTCGTTAATCGAAATTACGTTAACCGAGGTGTTCGTTAAACGAGGGGTCACTGTATATATGTGTATATATATATATATATATATATATATATATATATATATATATATATATATATATATATATATATATATATATATATATATATATATATATATATATATATATATATATAATTTTTAGTGACAGTAATGACCGTGAAAGCAAGCTTTAGGGCTTTAGTAGATACCCGTACTATAGAGACAAGATTTTTGTATTTTAAATGTGAATACAGTAGCAAGCTTTTTTAAATATAGAAGCAATCATTATAAATATACAAAAAACATTTATAAACATACAGAGAACCTTTATAAACATAGGTTACTCTGGCTAATACTGTAGTGAACACATGTTCTTATCTTTTATATAAAATTTATCTTTGCAGATTATACATGTTTAAGCCAGACTTGTACGGCAAGATCCGATACAACCAGCTCCTGCCTTTCCCATGGACCAGCTTCATGGAGGCTCCCCACTGGTATATCTTTACCAGTATATTCCAGAAGGTGAGAAAATAAAATAAAATACTCACCACAGGTTGTTCATTAGTGCTACATTATTTCCTTGAAGTTATTTGTGTTCCCAATGTAGGTAGGTAGTTAAGTTTAGTGGTGTCTCTCATCTTCTTAACCTTTCCTATTCATTTCATTCATCAGAGTTATTCTCTTCCTTCCTTTCTGTCCCTTTTCCTTAGTCTAGGGCGGGTGTTGGAGGTACAGTGGTAACGTGTGTATCTATCACCAAGTGAAAGGTTCGAATCCTACTTGACCCAGACACACATGAGAAGGGTGTTATCCAGTGTGTCTCTACCATACACCACAGGTTTCTCAGAGTCTGATTTCCTTTTGTACAAACACTGGATAACCCAACTGCAGGAATGGGTAGTAAGCTGATTTTTACCCCATGTATATAATATGAATATTCCCAACACCTTAAGAGATTGGGATGATTAAAAATGTTTGAGGTGCAAGAACTCTTTCCAGGAATGGATATTTTTTATTAAAACTAAAGTTTTTCACTTTCTTTCCATTATCAGGAGTTACCAGCGATTGAGGCACAACGGTTACTAGCCAGTGAAGTAGATGATGTGATTATTGGTATCCAGGAACTGTATTTCCCTTATCCCTTCACAGCCACAGCCTTAATAGCAGGTATGAATGTAAAGAAATCTTCTCCATAGGTGTTATGTTATAGAAAGGTAATTTATGAGGTAGTTCTGAGGTATGGAGGGTAATTTATGAGGCAGTACTGAGGTATGGAGGGTAATTTATGAGGCAGTACTGAGGTATGGAGGGTAATTTATGAGGTGGTATGGAGGGTAATTTATGAGGTGGTGCTGTGAAATCCAGTGATTGAAACTAATTTTAGTTTGTAATACAGTATTTCATTATTTTAGGAAGGGTTTATCTTCATAAATACAGTAATACTAAGCATATCAACTTTAGGCTGAGAATATATCAGTATTCAGTATTGTAGTGTTGATGAGAGAGTACCTGATGCCTTAGATTTTTTGGAATTTGATAACTTATATTCATCATCCTTGTACTGTACTGTATAACATTTGTGTCTAGTTACATTTTGTGTGTTGACGGTGTGTAACTGTGATGGGTCTTTACCATCAGGTCAGCATGTATCTACTTTTGACCTCCACCATTTTGAGTTCCTTGGCTCTTGCTCCTACCTCTTAAGTAAGGACTTTGTGGGTAATGACTTCGAGATAGTTGGTGTGTACAAGGCCAACGATGGTGCAGCCAGTCTAGAATCTGTGGTTGTTCATGGTCATCGCACAGATGTCACTTTGCATGTGGACGGCACAGTTGAAACAACTCAGGCAGAGGCAAAGGTGAACTTTACTTTTAGTTTTATTGTTCATGAAAAATAAAATTCCTTTTAGTTTATGGTAATAACCTGTATGTACTTTTTATTGAACAAATATAATGTTTATTTCATTCTTTAGGTTATTAGTGAAGAGGGATATTCTGCCTTGAAGATGCCAAACTTACTGGTGACTTGCAGCAAAATAAACCGAGGATGTTCTATCACTGTTACTGGCAAATACTTCAACAGGTTGGTATTGAAAATGTTTCGTCTAGTTCTGTCTATCTATTTTTTTTAGTGCTCACCAACCATTGTCTTAAGTGGATCATGGAATAAATAAACCTTCAAACAAAGGAGGAAATGGTTGTTGCAAGACAAGTGTACAAAATGACAAGGAAAGGGCTGAAACACACACACACACACACACACACACACACACACACACACACA